GGGTCGTCAGGGAAGCGTGATCTCTCTCTCTCTCTCTCTCTCTCTCTCTCTCTCTCTCTCTCTCTCTCTCTCTCTCTCTCTCTCTCTCTCTCTCTGTGTATCTATGTCTGGTTTTCACATACTTGAGGTTGGCTAGTGGGGCGCAACACTGAATGGCCCTCTGTCGGTGCATGTCTACCTCTCCGACAGCACGAAGTTGTCCCCTTTGCAGGCCAATTCTGGTCTCGCATGTCACGTTCGGCGTCGTGTTGCATCGCTGACTGGTGAACATGTCGATTGTGCGAGTGTTGTTTTCCAAGCTGCAAGAGGTTGACTACTGCGTGCCATGACTGTGTATACCATTGGTGGTTGTTGTCCCATTGGCCCGCAGTAGCCAACCTGTATGTCTGTCCAGTGTATGTATGCCTGTCTGCTCGAGGCTGACTACTGCGGGCATGTAAGTGTACACCGCTGCTGGTTGTTATCGTTCTGGCCCACAGTAGTCAACCTGTCGCTGGTGCCACATGTCTTTCTGTTTTTCCAGCTGGGTGAGGTTGACTGCTGCGTGCCATGTCAGTGTGTACCAATGCTGGTTGTTGTCCCGATGGCCCGCAGTAGCGAACCGCCCTCTAACGCAGTGTATCTCTTCCTGTATGGGCGAGGTTGACTACTGCGGGCCATGTAAGTGTACACCGCTGCTGGTTGTTCTCGTTCTGGCCTGCAGTAGTCAACCTGTCGCTGGTNGCGAGGTTGACTACTGCGGGCCATGTAAGTGTACACCGCTGCTGGTTGTTCTCGTTCTGGCCTGCAGTAGTCAACCTGTCGCTGGTGCCACATTTCTTTCTGTTTTTCCAGTTGGGTGAGGTTGACTATTGCGTGCCATGTCACTGTGTACCGATGCTGGTTGTTGTCCTGATGCCCCACAGTAGCCAACCGCCCTCTAACGCAGTGTATGTGTGTCTGTATGGGCGAGGTTGACTACTGCGGGCCATGTAAGTGTACACCGCTGCTGGTTGTTCTCGTTCTGACCCGCAGTAGTCAACCTCGCGCTGGTGCAACATTTTTTTTCTTTTTTTCCAGCTGGGTGAGGTTAACTACTGCGTGCCATGTCAGTGTATACCGATGCTGGTTGTTGTCCCAACGGCCCGCAGTAGCCAACCGCCCTCTAACGCAGTGTATGTATGCCTGAGAGAGAGAGAGGTTGATTACTGCGGGCCATGTAAGTGCACACCGCTGCTGGTTGTTCTCGTTCTGGTCCGCAGTAGTCAACCTCTCTCTCTCTCTCTCTCTCTCTCTCTCTCTCTGTCTCTCTCTCTCTCTCTCTCTCGTGAGGGGGTCACGTCGCTGCTAGGGCTTCTCATAAATGTATCTGATGTGTCATGCAATAGATGGAGCCTGCGATTCAATCGAATATCAACGGCGTGGAGACATGCGCGATGGAGACCCAGGACATTGTCAAGGGTATCGCAGTTGTCAGCAACGAAGGGATATCGGCCAGAGCAAACACCAGAGACTGTGCAGTGGTCCCTGCGGCAATTTGTGAGCAGACTGCAGACATGATGACGGATGGTCAGGCCAGTGAGAATGATGCAGGGTGTTTTGTTGCAGACGAGAATGTGGTCAGGACGTCAGCAGGAACTCTCTTCCCCTATGACATCAATTGGGTGCCTGGTCGTCTTCTACCGTGTATCGTTGGAGGAGCGCCGTGCTTCGCGTTTAAAGTAAATGGGGAATGGGTTCCATATCCCGCCCCCAAAGCGACGTCGTGGAGGGGCGTGACTCTGTCAATCATTTTCGATAAAGTGCTGAGGTTGAACGATGAGGTGAGCGCTGACGACAAATCGCGGCATGTGTTGAAACTGTGGCATGTTCTGGACGCGAAGGGCGAGTTGAGGCTCAATGATTTTGAGTACGACAGTGTCGACTGGGGAGAGTCATGGGTGATTGGCGGGTTGGACACTGCAGCGAGTTCGGTTTGCCCACAGACTGATGCCAGGAGGGATCCATGGTGGGGTTGGGTGCAACATGATGCCCCGCTTCTTTGAGGCCGTGTGAAGGTGCCGATGCGTGATGCCATGGGGAATGTATGGACCACGTGTTATATAAACGGCAGCTTCTCATCTAGGCACCTGAACAGGGAGGTGACTGAAGATGAGAAGATGGCGATGGCTTGTCCCACCCCTGTTGCTCGTTGTTTTTCGCCGCCTCTTCGGAACCCTGTGGAGTTCGAGGTGGCAGAGGGGAAAGTGTTCGCGGGTGACCATGGGTACACATATACGCATGCCAGAGGGGAGGACGCTACTGCTGATGGAATAACCACGCTGGTATGGGACCCATTCAACCTGAACCCTGACGTTCTGGCTTCCATAGACATTGCGGCCCATGTCATCCCTGAGGGGCAGTTGCAGCAGCAGGTGGCCCCTCAGAAGTATGGATATCGTGTGAATTAGGTCCCTGGATGTCTGCAGCCGGCAACAGTTGATGGCAAGGTGACCATGGCAGCGAAACTGCAGACAGGCCATTGGCTGCCCTTGGGGTGGATGCATGCAGGCATGGTGGAGCATTGGCAGTTYCTGGTGGTAGTGGCACRWGTCTCSATTTTCAATGCARATGTGAAGGASCRCGTGCTGGTTGTGGAGCATGCAAAGCGGTGYTGRGAGAAGATAAGGGAGGAGGACCGTCAGATGGTGTGCATGGGTTACGACTCCATGCCAGACCAGGGGATGTGGTCCATGGTTGAGGGGAGTCTTGGTGGGCAAGGGGAGGGCGATGGCGAGAACAGGTACATGGCTCACATCCGCCGCAGGCATGGTTGCTCCGCCCTTGTTGGTTGCGTCCCGGCCATATGTCGCATGACATACGAGCAAGGTGGAGAGATGATGATGAGGTTCAGGGACCCGCTTGGTGTGCCGTTTCTGCTGACGTACTCGGATAACCTCCTGCGAGACATTCGGTATATGGTGGCCGAGGACACCCGAGGTGGACATCGGAGGCCGGGACAGACGGAGGAGACGCGCCCGGGACATCAGGACGGTTTGTCTGCTGAGGTGGAGGGCCCATGTGGCGGTGAGCGAGTTGCAGGGTGCTCTGCAGCGCAGGGTGACGTGGCCGGGCCCAGCAAGACAGCGATGTTCCACAGCCCGAGGAAGGTGAAGGCGGTTGTGTCGAGGCCGCGGAGGGGGAAGACGGCTGGTGACAAGCAAAAGAAGAACCCACAGCCTGTGCCACAGACCGGTAACAATGCAGATGCGCCTGCACGGGTTCACAGACGCCGCAGACACCCCGGGATGGCAGCTTTGACAGAGATCAAGAAGCTGCAACGATCCACCGACCTTTGTATCCCTTTCAGGCCCTTCTTGCGCGTCGTCCGCGAGGTGGTGGAGAAGGACATTACCCCTAATAAGGTCCTGAGGTTCCAGATGACGGTTGTGCGTGCTTTGATGGAGGCTTCGGAGGCTTACCTGGTCGCCAACTTCGAGAACACAAACGAAGTGGCGATCCACTCGAAGAGGGTGACCATCCAAGTGAGGGATATGAGGCTGGTGGATAGGTTGACGAAGCCTCGCTGGGTGGAGAAATATCAGGGGATATTGGACGAGAGGGCTCGAGCTGAGGACAGGCAGCGACGGATGGATGCCAGACAGGCTGAGAGGGAAGGCCGGGGAGCAGGCGAGAAGAGAGAAAGCCACCGGCACCGAATCGTAGGGGGGGTGGCGCAAGAAAGAAGGCTGCATGAGAGACAGTGTGTGTGTGCTTCCGGAACGCTTGTCTTGTCTCTGTCTGTCATG